GGTTCGGGGTGTGACTTTTTTTTTTTTTTACACCAGAAGTTAGCGCAACTCCTAATGTGGACACAGTTGCAGTGGTAGAAGGCCCCTTTGCACTTGGGGAAGCAGCTACACTGGTATAAACCTCTCTATACCAACATAGCTGCATCAGCACTGGGGTTTGTACCGCTGTAATGATAGGGGTTTAGGTAAGGCCATGCAACTTCCTTGTGTAGACCAGGGCAGTGCTGGATGCCACACAGATTCCTCACACCTCCCCTTGAGGGTTTACATCTTGGTGGAGGAGGAAAAGCAAGCCATTGTGTCTTTTCATAGCTAACTACCGGCCTTTTATAAACCTGCTTTTGTCTCCTGTCCCCTCTGCTGCGTACGACATCATTAAACAACTAATGTCTCCAGCATGGGGCGGGGGCTCAGAATGCCTTCCCTGCTAAGATGCTTGCTCAGCTTTTTCTTGGCTCTGTTTTTCCCCCAGCTGTAACCTCCTTGGAGAACTGGTTTGAGATCAGTTGTTCTCCTCGGAAGGTAGGACAAGAAATAATGGGCTTAATTTGTAGCAAGGGAGATTTAGGTTCGATATTAGGAAATCTTTCTGACTCTAAGATAGTTCAGCTCTGGAACAGGCTTCCAAAGGGAGGTTGTGAAATTATTATTTTTTTAAGAACAGGTTGGACAAACACCTGTCAGGTATAGTCTAGGGTTTACTTGGTCCTGTCTCAGCGCAGGGGGGCTGGACTTGGTAACTTCTCCAGGCCTCTTCCAGCCCGACATGTCTCTGAATTGTTTATAACTACCTGTGAGCTGCAAGGGTCCCAAAAAAATCCGATTGCCTCGTCTTCAGCAATGAATGAACTCTTTACTCCTGGCTGTGATAGCTAAGAACAGAGCTCGGGCTTTATTCACTTTATTAAAAAAAAAAAAAAGAAAAAAAAACTTATTTTGTCATTATTAATCTACATGGACTAGCATAATCCTTCAGATACGACTTTCAATCCTTACGCTGGTAAATTCACACCTGCGCACAAATATTCTAAATCCCATTCATAACCCTCTTCTCGCCTCTCTCCACCTAATTCCATTTCATTTAACGTGCCGAGACTCAAGAGGGTCTTAGACCTCCAGCCATTAACACAGAGACCCGTTTAGAGTTAAATACGCAAGTTGTACTGCTTCAGCGGTTAGGTAAATTGGTGCAATGCCCAATGCCAACAGCACGGATGCAGTTATGTCTGGATGAAGGTGCTTTAAGGTACAGCTTAATTCTGCATATTTACTACACAGATATATAATCGCCTGTGTACGGACATAACTAGATCTCTGCCAGGGGATTCTACTGCTTTCTGTATGCCAGCTTCTGAACAGATTATAATTAAAGTGGTGCAAAAATTGCATCGACAAGCCCCTAGTGTATAGTCCACAGCCTGCATTTTGCAAACATAAACAGTCACTCTGGCTTAAACACACACACGAGATAGTCTAGAAACATTTCCCTCCTTCTCTCTTTTTTTTTTTTTTTTTTTTTTTTTTTTTTCCCTTTGTAAATCATACAAGTCCAACCCAGCTGTTCTAGCTGTCCCTGCCTCTGGAAATCATGTGTCCTGCTCCACCTGCTGATTTCCCTGTAATGCGTTCTCTTCAAAGGGGACTAGATTTCTGCACCTGCTCCAACTGGTTCAGAATAAACTGTGTCTTTGAAGCGCTCAAAGCCGTCCATGAAGTGGGTCACTGTCCTGCTTAGGCCTGGATTTTGTCTGCAGATTTCTCCCAGCAGAGCTCTGTCGTCTGATACACTCGCGTTGGAAGTGCTGCTTCTCTGTCTCCAGTGTGGATGGGCAGGGCTACAAATGTGAAAGGGGCGGGCACCAGGTTAGCATTTTA